TTCCATAGCTTCCTTACCGGTGGAACTCTGTGAGGGGTTTCTGTTTCTTAAATAATCTGTTTGATTCATTCGTTCTTCTACGGAAAAAAGAAGACAGTCAACGCTATTGGAGCAATAACAAACGAAAATCAGTTGTGGAAACTCTACAATTATTTAATATTTGCTACATTACATTATTAGTAAATAGAATTAGCATTATCGTTATGAAGGAGGGTAATTTTATAATACAACTGGCTGTCATAAGAAAGTTGATTAATTTAGTTATATAGCAAAATACTATAATAACCGATATTTAGGGTCGATAGAAACAAGAGTATAAAAATGATGGCTGCTGTGAAATGTGATTGATGATAATCTGTTGAAGAAAATATATCTCCAGCGGATATTAAACGATATCTTGTATTATAAAACAATGCGAAATAATCGTTAATGCTATTCCTTTTAATTCTAAAACTTTGACTTATACTCGGATTTTTGCAGAAATTGTAACAAAAGATTCATTCAATATCGTTTAATTTGATGCTACGTAACAAAAATTAAATTAAAATTTATAACGTGTAAAATGACTTTGTCAATTAATGTTGATAGACAAGAAGGTAGGGTAAAGCTTGATTCACTTAGAGTTTAATAAATCAGTGTGTGCTTCATGGACTAATTTAACTTTTCTCTAACTCATGCAATATGATTATTACATTAGCTATAAAATTATTTTTACAATCATTCTATTTTGAGTAATACTCTTACCTGAGGTATAACTAAGGATTGAGTTAAATTTAATGTTGATAAGTTATAATTATAGCATAAAGCAAATGCTTCATCAACTCCAATAAGAGCCACAAGGGTTATAATTAAAACTATACTCATTTAAAAGTATTTATCAAAGATCTTTAATATACAAATCATCTACTAAAATGCGTTAATAGTACGTAAATGGGGCCCTTTTGGATACATTGGAGGTACAACGATTAACTTAATATTAATGATGGGCCCATGTTTATTTTATATTGGGCTAGATTAATGATTAGTTATAAAATATTAGAAACTTTTGTGATGGTTACCATTTCGTTGTGGTTATTATCCGAAAGTTATTCTTAACCAATAGAAAATTGAATCCATGACTAATATCAAAAGTCATACATTAGAGAAGTGTTTTTTCAACTGCATGTTTCTATATTGTAGAACTATTTATTGTGAATTATTTTTTATAATCAAAGTAACAATCTTCAATCAAGATTGCAGATTAATAGAAGAGAATAAACGTACGTATTCTACGGTAATGGCGAGAAATGACGTAAATTTTCTCTGGATTAAGATTACCTTATCCTGTATATTGCACATCTGCTCATGCCTATCACATTAGTTTATAAGGTAAAAAACGATAACGTAACTACAAACAAAAGTTATGACCGGTCGAGTGGATAGGAATTAATTATTAATCTAATACATTTCTAATTACTCATGCTATCGCTTCGTTAGCTTTAATGAGATGAAGAAGTAGAACAGTTATACGCATTTAATTAATTGTATGTTAAATATACTCGTAAATGGAGCGAATTTTATTACACTTCAATGGAATTTGGATAAATTGTTATCTCTTAAAATTATGGAAAGCGATACTTTAGTCTTCAAGGCTGAGATAATAAAGAGATACTAATCTAGTATATTTATGATGCTGATGAAATTAAGATAGTGTTACATAAGATAACTTTTTGAATATCTAATACTTAATAACATCCAATTGAATTGATTATAAATCGAGATCATATCAAAGATAGCCATTAACGATTTTAACTATTTTAATGTCAAATTGAATATGGTGCTAGAAAGTAAAGATTATATCTAGCTACTTGGATAATAATTTACGCTGATCGATTATGAACTAAAATGACCGATAGAAGTTTAAAGATTTGGTTATTATAGTTACGATTATTTTTTATGTCAATAACGTTCTTGACTGGCGATATTATTAGATTTTCGGAAAATGATTTACTAAATTAGGTTAAATTAGAGATATGACGCTACAATCATGTTAGAAGAATTGCATAGAGGTTGTTGATTATTTTATATTGATGCAAAGGGAGAGAAAAGAAAGAACATGCTTGTTAAATTAAATTTTCATGATATTGATTTAAAGCTAGCCGTAGATAATATGATCTGTTGCATTAACTGATATAATTTGCATAGCAATAATTATCGTAACCTAATTTTTTCTTATAACCCCAAAATTGAAGACGTTTAGCTACGTTCGACATGTTATTTAATTACACAACTCTATTACAAATAAAAGCAAATTTTGAAATAAGATTGTCAATTCAGTTGAAATCTGGTTATACTTGTCAAGTTAAGATTACATGGCGCCAATTATAAAGTCAAATAATGATATTATAGAGTAATGATCAAATACTATCGGCCATTAGCCTTGTTCGACTTTTACTTTTGATTTATTACTTATATTGTTATCTAAATATTAAAATTTCATTTTAATAGGTTATACAATTCATCTTATAATCTACTAACTCACCGGTGGTAGATTTATTAGTTGTAATATCTTGCTTTTGATTTTTGTGCGGGATTGCTTGTCCTTTGCCTGTCGTTGTTACTGTAGTATTATCGTAATAGAAATGGAGTTGTGAATTAACTTGAGAATTTTCTGCCATCGTCCACTATCTTAAATTTAATATCCTGACCTACTTTGATTAGATTGTCTTGGAAGAGGAGGAGGAAGAGGAGGGGAAGAGGGATGATAGTCAGGCGCCACAGATATGTCAGCTAAAGGCACAGCAAGGAATAAACTTGTGCTAACGTCCATCATATTGTAGTATCCAATCAGAGCTAGACATGTTAATTAAAGAAATTTAATCCAAATGAAGTACATTGGACTAGGCGTGACTCTAACTTAGCCATAATTAAAAAATTGAACTTTTTGATAGGCAACCTATTCAAAGCACCATCTGTTTGAAGCTATTCTAACGTTAAAAGATTGAGAGGTAACTGAATATGAAAACAGATTATTTTTTGGTAAGTTGTTATGTTTTTATATTTGGTCAGATACAGCAAAGATTAGTAGCAATGACTTCATTACCGAATTTATTTATTTTTTGCATTACATGTTTAGTCATTGCGTATAGGCTATTCTTGAAAAATATATTTGCAATGTGTATTTGAATTGATAGAAGTCATAATCTGTGAGACTAAGGACCTCGATGACGAATAGAATTAACATCCGTTCAGTAAATCGGATCGATATTGAATTATCTACTAACAGACAATAAACATATGGCTAGATAGAGTTAAAAAAATTCATAAATAAATATATTTGCTAATCATTTAGAGTACAACAACTTTTTCATAGTGATTATTGACTTATTTTTGGATCACTGATGTGAACATTATGTTTCAACATTGGTCAAATGTAACTATTTGTATTGAATTGTTCAAAACATTAATACAATAGTGTTGTAGTCTTTACACCATTAGCAAGCTGAATAGGCAGCTAAATTGAATTTTCATGATTAATTAATAAGACAATGCAAATTGTAGCAAAATAACGAGTTACAAAATAGAATTATGCCATCTTAGCTATGAATATTATCATTATTCAATTATTGACTAGTATTGTCAAAATAATAATAAAACTGAAAATACATTAAGATCTATTATTACTTATCATTGATTCAATATGGGTTTCCAACAACACCAATTTTGGCTATGATCATAGTTCAAATCCATTGATGATTATGAATGTTATAGCTATGCTGCCAACAATGTGCTTAGAAAGATCAATACGTTTAATAAAATTGATCTTTCTCAATAGATGACAAGATGATAGTCAAGTTTGATCTATTTAATCATATTATTACTTTTTCTTACTACAGCGTCTGTATGACAATAATATTTTTTACTCAATATTTTGATCATTAAAATGGGTATAATAACATCAGCTAATAGATTTTAACTTTGGGTTAATCTCATAGTAAAAAATGTGAGAACTTAATGAGATTTAATGCCTATATTATGCCCTATTAACTTGCGTCAATTTCTTACTTTTCTCATGATATTGATTTATAAACCAAGCCAGATTGGAGCTATAAGTGCGTGTAATTTTTTTACCCAAAAAATGTTAGCTTTAAGCAACGACTTTATCGTCCGTCCCTCCACAGATACAAAAAGTGTACAACAATTGAAAAGTACTATTCTATGAGCCTATCCTATCAATTATTCAAGATAAAACGAGAATAGGCAAAATGCCTTAAAATCAGTCTAGTCTATTTTCAAATTGATTAGAGTATTAATTTCCAATGATAATTCGTTTAGGTAATAAAATTGTACTTCGTGAGTTATGCTAATCTCAAATATTTAGTCCTCGCAAATGCTCTAATTAGATATTTCAAAAGGGTCCATTTCATTTTCATGTCAGGCCAATTTACCATGTTTTTAACCAAAGTCAATAGTCCTTCAATTTCAAAGGTTAGTAATTATATGTCTGTATTAGCTATCGTCAATACCTCATTATATTGAGGTAGATAGAATAGTTATTATCCTTTCATTGTAATCGACAGGCATAAAATGGTGATTATAGCTACAAATATTGACATTTTACATCCGTAAATCAATATGTAAAAGACTAATAATAACTGTTTAATATAGTATACGAGTATATTTATGATTTAAAAGCAATTACAAGTAAAGAAATCTGAGCTGTGATGAGATCATGTTTTGCCAAGTTAAGATCGATATCTATGCTAATTTGATAATACTTTAGCTCTTTTTCAGGATAATTATTCTCTCCCTATAGATGTGGAGCGTTGGTCGGTATTGATTTGCATTAATTGGTCAATATTATAATATAATATGTATTTTTTAATTTAATTTTTAGGTAAAAACCCAATTAATATTATTCTTTTTAATATCATTAGCATATTATCAATCATTTGTTTTATACAATTTAGGATGATTTAAGTCCCATTATAGACTACTATATTGTAACAGCTGCAGACTTAGTCTACAGTTTAACTGCTCGATACTAGGCTATAGAAAAAGGAATAATAACACATTTCTAATCAGAGTAAATTGCAAAGTAATAATCTATTATTTTCTTCGTCAGGATCGTTGGAATTGTTTAATATGACTGGTACAAAGATATTGGAGAAGATTGATAATGATATTAGAGAATATAAGGGTGTAAAGATAGGACATAGATTGCGCAACTAAAATGATACGGTAAACTTTATCGAAATTTTTCAAATAGACACATGATCTGTTTTCACTATTATGCCAGAACAGTCTACTCAATTTAATTAAGGATTAAGGTCGTTTATCACAAATATTAGTAGTTAAATGTTTTCATCATTCATAAAACTGCTTCAATTAATATTTTAGAAGTTTTTCATATCTAAATTAACGCTATCTGTTCGACTATATTGAAAAATAGACAGGCTTCATAATATTTACAAGATAATAATTTTATTTATTTGACTCTTGCATAGCTTGATTTTTATGAGCCTTACACGATTATTATGTTATAGAATAAATTATATAAATTGATTCGTTTCTTTTGCATATTTAAACGAAAAAATGGGAGTTATAAGTAGTAGTGATGCTGTTTGATGAGGAGGATATCTGCGCTATGATATGAAGTGTTATTAACCTTAAGTGGTTTAAATGATAAGTTTCTAAGATCAATAGGCAATCATCTGTTTTATTAATACATAAGCGATGATTTATAGGTGTAAATTGAAAAATTTCCTCTATTTTATTATTATGATGATATTTATTTAATTTATTCTAATCGATATTACAAAGCAATTAAATTTATCTTGCAACTATACGCTTATTTAATATGATATTACTGGTAGTAACTCAATAATCTTCATTGTTGTCACTTTATTATAAATCATAACGATGCTGATATAACAGAAGGATACAGTTTACTATTACAATGTTTATACAGTATTTAGAATGTGTCACAAAGGAAATTATTTAGGTTAATGTGTCGAATTATTTTAATATCTCTCGAGCCAAAATTCTCGATACAAGATAATGACGGTGGAGCTATGTTATAGGATTTCTTCGCTTGTTTTACTCGATGTTTTAAAACGGCTTTTACAAGTTATTTGATGGGTAGAATCGGTTGTTTCATTAATGGCGTTATGAAGATCATGAAACATGATCAGTACTTGGAATAGGGTGGATAATAGAAATACTCACAGAAAATTTGATACGGTTCGTTCATTAATACTCGGTGAAAATATTCAAATGCAGTGTTGTAGTTTGAAAAAGTTTGATGGCTTTCCCAGTTATCTCGAATAAATTGTGCGAAATAAGATATCTTTACATGATAGTATTGATATAAATTATGAATTTTAAGGTTGTCATTTAAAGAAAGATATACACTAGATTTTTAATGTAGACTTGCTAGTTAGTGCTAGATAATATTAAGATCGCTTTAAGTTATAAACGGCACGCATGTATTCGAGATATTAACATACGTGTAATAAAAACAATAATAGAGATGATTTGGATAATCAATTGCTTATACGTATAAAGCAAAGCACATTACTTGATAATCAAAAACTGAAGCATTATGTTACTCCATTTACTTTCGCAATCGAAATTTGAGCGAGTACAGATCATAGATAGTATCTGTAGTGATTTATACTAGATTATATCCGGTGCATCTCGTTGAACGATATCCATATATACTCGCGCAGTAATCAACACAGCCTTCCATTAAAGTTGTGATCTGGTATGTGTACAGTGTACAACTGTACATATTATTATGGTATGATCTTTGAGCTTAAAATTATACAACACGGACGCAATATAAAGGACTACCGCGTTACCGTTATGGTCAACAAACCGCAACATTTATAAGGCGGAGTATGAAGCGATTCAATGTTTCAAAGGTTAATATGTATAAACTCTAAAATACAATAAGTACGCGTATAATAATCGAAAGAGATCTCATAAGGCGATCGTTATT